TTAATTGATATTAATACATTTTAAAAACATTTAGAAAACAATATTAAAATTTTTTATTAATTATTGTATCGAAAATTAAATCACAGCCTTATGTATTATTGATAAATCACAGGATAAAAACGACACAACATGTTTAATTAATTAATTTTCTTCTTCGTATTATTATTATTATTTTTATATTGCGATTAAATAAAAAGTTTTTTTTTCCACTTTTTTTTCTAGCAAGTATACAATATTGTTTTTATATAGTTGACGTTGAAAATGAAAAACCTAAAACAAAAGAGAAACAGGTACGAAATAAGGATGTAATGTAAAAAAAAAAAAAAAAAAAAAATACTTACTCTTTCGTTCAGATTTAATTTATATTTGCATTGTACTAAAATTATATAAAAAAATACGTTAATTAATTAATTTTTTTTTTGTTTTCAGACGATTTCGAATTTGATGAAAAAAAAAAAAAAAAAAATTTAACTCACTTATTTTGTGTGAAAAATATTTAAACAGCGTCAACAGGCTGTTTTGAATTATTTTTTTCCATATTAACGTATGTAACAATTTCCGTTTCCTGTTGCAATCTTCCACCGTTTGGTAGATAATGTATCAAACATGAAACACCAACAAGAAATAAAAAAAAGACAAAAACCATATCGAACATAACCAATAAGTTTATGGTCATAAACTGCATATCATTTATATTTGTGTCGAAACCAGGATCGACGACGATGTTTTTTTCATTTTTTTTTTCACGACTCTTTTGTAGGAGGAGGAAGAGAAAGAGGAAGAGGATGAAGAAGAAAAGAAGGAGGAGGAAAAGGAAGAGGAGGAATCATCATAATTATAATTGGACCACAGATTGTTCAGTATTATTAGGCACGATTTCAGCATCATTTTAATTATATTTTACCGTAAGTATCCAAACATATCAATCAATGTTTATTTTATTTTCCCTTTCGAAGGGTTTAATTATTTAACCTTTTTTTTTTTTTTTATTAACAACCAATTATTACGATTGTCTCTCGTGTGTGATAACCTAAACAAACTAACAAACAAACAAACAAACAAGCCTTTTTTTTATCACAAATTAATTTTTTGTTTTTGTTTTTTGTGTTTAGTTTTTACCTCAACATTGTTTAATCTGTTGCATATAAAAAAAAAAAAAACTTTTCAATTATTTTAAAAGTTTACAACGAAAAAATTATTATTATTATTATTATTATTATTATTATTATTATTATTTAATAAATTTAATTTAAAATATTATTATTAATTAGAAGAAAAAAAGAAAAAAAAAAGATACGCGTAAATTTACTTAAATAATTCAATGCGGTTATAATAATAACGAAAAAACTTCCGTTCATAAACTAGTAAATAATAATAATAATAATAATGATGATGATGATGATATGTGCTTTCAAGATATTACCGTGGTAATTTTTTTCTTTTTTTTTTTTTTAAATTAAAAAAAAATTCACTTCAACGATTGACACACATTTAATATATAAAAAAAAGATTTAAGAAAAAAAATCAGATAGAAAACAACAACAACAACACAAAAAACAAAAATAAAAAAAAATGAAGAAAAGAAAAAAATCCGCGTTTAAAAATATTAAAAATTTTTTTTTTTTTTTTTAAAAAAAAAAAGAAAAAAAAAAATAAGAAAAAACTTTTTTGTTAAGCAGGCAGCTGGAGCAGGAGCACAGGAGCAGGAGCACCTCGACGGTGTCTGACTGTATGAAGGCCTCATCGATTGCGGGGGCGTAAGTACTTGCGTACTAAGCATTAAAAGAGTAGAGCACGTGCCAATGTTTTAAACCAATTAATTTAACATTAATTTATCTCTGGATTTCCCTTTTTCCCCCTCACCAGGTTTTAAAACCTCCATTTTTCTTTTTCCTTATTTCAGACTAAAACAGATGGACAATAAAACAAAAAAATTTTATTTATCCTTTCTTTGTTTTTTTTTTTTTAAATTCGAATAATAATTTTCATTGAATCATTGGAAAATACAATATATATATATAACTGATAAGATTTTTTTTAGGCGAAAACACACACGTGACGATGAATTAATTTCTGAACAAATGATGGATGACCGAGGAAAATATTCAGATTTTTTTTTCTCTCTCTCTCTCTCTCTCTCTATTGATTTTATGAAAATTAGAAAAAAAAAAAAAGGGGAAAAAAAATAATAATAATTGGCTTGATATAAATTTTTTTTTTTTTTTTTAATAAAATATGATATTAAATGATGATAAGAGCGTGTGGGTGCGTGTGTGCGTGTGGATGCGTGGGTGGGTGTGGATGGATGCGTGCGTTCTCTCTCTCTCTCTCTTAGGACCTGTGCAAAATCAAATAAAAAAAAATCTGATGGCTCTCAAAAAATTTATAAAAAGTAATAAAAAAAAAAAAAAAAATTGTAACTTTGTTTTCTCTTTCAGTCGTCGCCATTTCTTCTTCTTGTTTTTTTTTTTATGTTTAATATAAAAAAAATTTTTTTTTTTTTTTTTACGAACCGACGATTGATGACGTAACATAATTTATAAATTAATTCATTACAACTTTAATTTTAATCATATACATATATATATTTAATTATGTATTCTTTGATTCCCTTGTTCTTTTGTTTTCTCGTTAAATTTCACACGGAAACAATAATTAATAATAATAATAATAATAATATAAATCTGAAATGTTTACAAACATAAAAAAAATACCAATATTTAATTATTATTTAATTGTTATTTTATATCTATCGGATTCTATATTTGTTACGGGTGAGATTCCCATAAGTCAATATACGGGAAAAATGGCCGAACCTGGTCAATTCCCATTTGTAGTTAGATTATATTCAAAATTAAAAGAATCCGCGGTGACATATTGTACGGCTACCATCGTGACATCGGACAAACTTCTGACCGCAGGTCACTGTTGCAATACGAAAGCAGTAAGATTTGTTGTTTCTGGAGATCCGGATCAAACGGATTTCGTTGCATCCAATGATAAAAACAAGTATGTTGTTTATTTTGTTAAAAAAATTATATTACATCCTAATTTTGAGCGCACCGAAACAAAGTTGGTACACGATTTATGTTTAATGATTTTAGAAAAACCTTTGACGTTAAAAGATGGACGACACAAAACCATTGAAATAAGTTATGAAAAATTGAAAAGGAAAACAAATTGTACGGCATTGGGTTGGGGTAGTAATTTCGGACACATATTACAACATAAACTTCATTATAAGAT